CTGAGGACCCGTCTGCAGCAGGGATGACCTCCTGGTCCCTGATGGGGAGCTGTGCAAGGATTCTCAGCTGCATGGTCCTCCTCCTGCTCCCTTGGCCTGCTTGGAAACAAATGTCCCTCGCACCATAGCTCTGAGACCTAGGAAGGCACCTCTGGGCCGTGTGGTGGGGAGGAGATCTGACCACAGTGACTTGGGGCTTGCACACGTTCCTTATGGTCTCAGCTCACCAGCTGCCCCAGCATCTCTACAGAACCAAGTAGACAACACACCAGACACGATGCTCAACCAGCCATGCTTCAGGGGATAGCCATCTTAGTGTGGTGGCTAAGTCAAGACAAGCTGCAGTCTGCCTTCAATACGCACCTACAACAGCACCGAGACCAAGCGGCCTTTTCATCAAGGAAGATGTGTGGACTGAAGGACTCAGAGAGACAGACACAGAGACACAGAAAGAGAGCATGCTTTGACACACAGCAGGAAGAATTTGTCTCCCTGGGTCCATATGTAGGGCAAAAGAGAGACCCTTCAACCCCTCCCTTGTGAACTCCTGACATGCATTTCAGTCTTTTTTTAGCCAAAGCGAACTCGGGGCACAGGCATCCCCTGTCCAGGTGCCGTGTCTGCATGTGGGGAGCAGGAAGGCCTCTCCTAAGCACAGATAGCTCTGGATGCCGGGATGTGGACACGCTGCCCTGCGGGAAGGCTTCTACCAGCCCATGGCTGGAGGGCGAGGGGTCCACGCCTGCTGCATGCAGAGTGCTCCCTGGGTCCTCTTCCTCACAGTCCAACCCTACCTCCTTGGGAACGTCGAGCTCAGAGCCAGCCTCACTGTGACTTCTGGCTAAATGCTCTTATTCAAGTCTCTGGAAGAGGTCCCCACTCAGCTGCCTGCCAAGTGAAGAGTCGTTTGTGACACCAGCATGGCCAGGGACAGGGACCTCAGGACTCCCACTGGGCAGTGACTTCTGCATGCACCTTGAAGACTGAGCGGGCTTGCAGCTCCACCTGCAGCTAGAGGTCCAGGCATGTGGGGTCAGAGGCCAAGGTGGCCACCCTAGGAGCAAGCACCACCTGCCTCTACTCACATGCAGAGACTTTTTTTTTTATTCATATGTGCATTCAAGGCTTGGGTCATTTCTCCTCCCTGCCCCCACCCCCTCCCTTACCACCCACTCCGCCCCCTCCCTCTCTCCCCCACCCCCTCAATACCCAGCAGAAACTATTTTGCCCTTATTTCTAATTTTGTTGTAGAGAGAGTATAAGCAATAATAGGAAGGGACAAGGGTTTTTGCTGGTTGAGATAAGGATAGCTATACAGGGCATTGACTCACATTGATTTCCTGTGCGTGTGTTACCTTCTAGGTTAATTCTTTTTGATCTCACCTTTTCTCTAGTTCCTGGTCCCCTTTCCTATTGGCCTCAGTTGCTTTTAAGGTATCTGCTTTAGTTTCTCTGCATTGAGGGCAACAAATGCTAGCTAATTTTTTTGGGTGTCTTACCTATCCTCACCCCTCCCTTGTGTGCTCTCGCTTTTATCATGTACTCAAAGTCCAATCCCCTTGTTGTGTTTGCCCTTGATCTAATGTCCACATATGAGGGAGAACATATGATTTTTGGTCTTTTGGGCCAGGCTAACCTCACTCAGAATGATGTTCTCCAATTCCATCCATTTACCAGCGAATGATAACATTTCATTCTTCTTCATGGCTGTGTAAAATTCCATTGTGTATAGATACCACATTTTCTTAATCCATTTGTCAGTAGTGGGGCATCTTGGCTGTTTCCATAACTTGGCTATTGTGAATAGTGCCGCACTAAACATGGGTGTGCAGGTGCCTGGGTGTGCAGGTGCCTCTGGAGTAACCTGTGTCACAGTCTTTTGGGTATAGCCCCAAGAGTGGTATTCATGCAGAGACTTTCAACCCTCAAGTCCCAGTAACCCCCTCCCAATGCACTTGGCAAGTTGACTTGGGTTTTTCTGTTTATTCCTCTTGACGGGTCTGTCTTCAGTACCTCCCTCAGCACTGGCTCTGTCAGAAAGGCCCACTATCTCTAATGGTCATGAAACAAACCCTATCGAAAATTAGAAGCCAAGGCTGCTGGGTACCCAGGGATCCAGGACCAGCAGCCATGCTGAAGGAGAAGCTAAAGTTCTTCCGCAGACCCCTGGCCCTCACCACAACCCATGCTCCTCACCTACGACAGCCAGGGAGAAAACCGAGAGAACTGCGGGGGTGGTGACAGGAAAAGCTCCCCACCCTGACCACCCACTCTGGGCTTGGTATCTGAGAATTTCTTTGCAGGTTCATTTGGGCTGTGACAGATTCAGGTCCTTGGGTTGCAGGACTGAGGTCCCCACTTCCTAGCTGGCTGTTTGGTAGAGGCCACTCTCACCTCCTAAAGGGCACTTGCCTTCGTTGACACCTGGGCCCACTTTCACCCGGCACTGGAGTATGAATGGCCGCCTGCCTTCCTCTCCCACCACAAGGCCAACCCAAGAAGACTCTGTTTTCAGTAGCCCACGGTGGGTGGATCAGGCCGCCACAGACAGTCACCCCACCTAAAGTCCCACCATGCCAGGCAACATAACCCAACCCCAGGAGTGGGGGTGTCATAGGATTCACATCGCAGACCAGGACACGACATCTGTGGGGCCATTTTAGTCTCTCTACCTCCCTGGTGCCCCAAACCATTCCATTTTCTGCCCAACTCCTGTGACTGACAAGAGCAGTATCATTGGGTCCCAGCCTGACAGTGTGCGAATGATTTGTGAACACCTGTCAACCTTAGAAAAAGACCTGCGTGTAAACTTTCCAGTGATTTCTCTGCATGACATCATAGAAGATTCTTTTAAGGCTGCCATAAGGAAGAGACACGAATCCTGCCCCATACCGTCATCTTGGGCAAGTTCCCTAATCTTCCTGGGCCTCAGTTTCCCCATCTGCAAAACAGGGATCCAGGCAAAGCCAGTCTCACAGGTTCCTGTGAGAATGGGAGTGAGTGAAGGCATGGAGAATAGTCAGGGCGCAGCCCAGGGCACAGTGAGTGCTGGCTGCTGGCATTGTGGATGAAGAAAATGTCCAAAGACACCCAAGGCAATATTCAATGCCCACATGGATTAAGGAAACTCACACCCATGAAAGAGATACAGAGAAGAGAGGGCAGAGAACTGGACTCCACACACATCGGCAAGGCCATGGATCAACAGCACTCGCGTTTCCTCCCGAGCTCATTCTCGCTCCTTGTGAGACCAGCTCACACATCACCACTGACTCATCTTAATCCCGTGGGGAGGGAAGAAAAATGGCATCCCAAGTACCACAGGAAATCCGCTTCATATGCGATGCTCTGACTTGCAAGTCGCAGAAAGAGTGGACTTCTCTGTGACGTGGCGATGCCACCCTCCAGCTCGCAGCAGGTGTGCCCAGTGAGAGTGCCAGAGGGAGCACCTTGGCTTGGAGATTTCCAACAGAAGCCACCAAATGGGGGGCAGGTGGGAGTGGGGCCGACAAACTGCTGGCTGTGAGCCAGCAGCCATGCTTGCTCCTTATCTGGCCTGGGCACTCCTGTTGCTAGAGATAGCGCCCCAAAGCACAGCAGCTAAAGGTAAGAGATAATCGCTTTAATTTTAGCTCAGAATTACTTTGTTCTGAAGCTCCCTGACCTCTGACTTGGCGTGTCATTGTGTGGCTGCAGCTGGCAGGATGAAGGATGGCTGGCCGCGTGGGAAGCACTTCTGCAGGAGGAGGGGCAACGGGTGCAGGATGGGGTCTGCTGGCCACTGAAATCGTATTTCAAGATTTTCAACCATGAGGAGCTGTGCACAGTCACATTGTACCTTGTAGTCTGCAGTTTCCCCAGAAATCAGTCCTAATCTGTCTCCTTTCAACAACACACTACTTCCCCAGGAAAGCCAGGCTCCAGTCTCCCATTCAACACACAGTTTGGAGGGTGAGATCCACTCAGGACTATGGGAGCCCGGCCACAGCATGGTGCCCACAGACACCATCAGCTCCACCGTTTCCCTCCAGCATGCAGGCATGGGGTGCACACCAGCTCCTGATCCCAGGGTCCCAGGGAGGCCTTCAGCGCAGGCATTTCTCCTAAGTACCTTCACTCAGTGCTGTCTTCCCCCAAAGCCCCAGGTCCCTGATGGCCCCATGCTAGCCCCTCTCCTACCTGAAGAGCTCAACTACTCTGTGTCCTTGCTTGTCCTTGCCCTATCCTTGTGGTCTCAGTCCAATGTCCCCTCCGCTGAAAGGCCTCTCCCGGCCTCTCCCAAAGCAGGAGGCCACTGTTGTTACACCCAACAATAGATCGCTCTGTCCTTTCTAGGGTTCATCTCCCTCCCCGTAAGAAGCACCAGGGGTGGTCACATCATTTTATTGCCAAATAATCTAAGGTCCAACCCTGCATCTGGCACTTATGGGCCCTTGATAGGCATGTATTCAATGAATAAATGAGTGGAATATGCAAAATTGAAAAATTAAGAGGTTGAGTCAGCAGCCCCTCTGGAACCTTGCAGCCCAAGTCCAGGGTATCTTCTCTTTCTACCTGGAAAACAGTTCCCTGGGAAGTTCCCAGGTCTCCCCACCCTGCCTGCAGGAGAGGAGGGGCTTCCCAGCCCACCTGTGTCCCCTGCTGTGCCAGGCACTGGCAGTGAGCAGAAACAGGGAGGCCTGAGCCTGTCCAGGTGGTCTTGTGGTGGGTGCCTGTCCAGCCCTCCCCTAGTGCTTGCTCAGGTGGCTCTGTGCAGACCCCTTCCCTGCTCACCCCACTCACCCTGCCTGGGGTCGGCCTCTCAGTAGCAGGCGTCAAAGCCTCCTGCTGCACTGGGCACAAATGGCCTTTCTGTGGCCTCACATCTAAAGGGATGGCTGATCTGCACCAGGTGTTTGAGAACAGTTTGGCAGGCCTGGGATGTCCAGTGTGACTGTGATATCATATTTTCTGCTTTTACGATCCCTGTGCTGGCTCTGATGTGTGTGCGTTGCCCTCAGCTCCGAGCCCACGCCGTGGACATGAACGGTAACAAGGTGGAGAACCCCATCGACCTGTACATCTACGTCATCGACATGAATGACAACCGCCCCGAGTTCATCAACCAGGTCTACAATGGCTCCGTGGACGAGGGCTCCAAGCCAGGTGAGCTGGGGCCACGCGGCACATCCCATGGCATTTGCTTTCTGGGGACCCCATGAACTCTGCGGGCAGGCAGAGGGCTGGTCTGCAGGGCCCCACCACTGTGTCAGCACCACAGGCCTCACCCATTAACGCACAACACACAAGCTAACTGGTGTTTGCAGCCCCTGCTCTCAAGGACCTCAGGGTTCAGAGGGGTTGCAGACAAAGATCCAGCAGTCCCAGTGAATTGCACTGACATGGGCACAGAAGGAAAATCCAGGCGCTCAGAGGCCTGGTGATACTGTCAACCAGGGAAGGCTTCTCTGAGGAGGTGACATGTCAGATAGGGGCAGATGCTTGAGGAAGGGCCACACTCAGAGAGGGCTAGAAGGGAGCCTGGGAAAGAAAAGAGTATGTGCCAAGGTCCTGGGGCAGGAGACAGCCAGAGACAAAGACCCACCAGTCAAGATCTCCCAGTCTACACTTTGGGTTTGGTTCCAAGCACACTAGGAAACAAGGCCCAGACTCCCCCAGCTCCAAGAAATGAGCCCATGTACCTAGACCCTCTGCCCCCCTGAGAGCTGGCCCAACAGCATGTCTTCCCGTGACCCAACAGCATATCACAGACTCCAATGTGCCCAGTAATGGTGTGCCAGGGGTCCTTGTTAAGCATGAGTCTTGTCTTATATCTGTGTATCCCATAACTACCATGAAGCAGGGGTCCCCTGTCTCCTTTGGCAGAAAGGAGACTCACTGCCAAAGAGGGGCAGTGCACTGCGTGCATGGGTGGGAATCCAGGCATCCACATCCAGTGTGACTTGTGGGCAAACAACAGCACCCTGGGAGCCTGATGCAGATGCAGTCTTGGCCAACCCTGACCTGCTAGCTGAGTCTGCAGGTGGCACCTCTCTGAGGGTTGACAAGCCCCAAGGTGACCTCTGTGGAGAAAGAGCAGCCAGCTCTGTGCTGTCCCCTGTGTGGAGGAGAGGCCCTGCCTGGGACCCACTTGGCTGAGCTTGGCTGGGTGGTGGCAGATGAGGCCACACAGGAAGCCTCTGCTGGGGCTGCCAGATGTAACCCCTAAAATATTCACGGAAGGACAACCAGGGAACCTACAGCAAATCACTGTCACACATAAGTGTGTCCCAAGCAACTGTGGGGACACACTCACGCTTTTTAGGAAAGTATCTTTGCGTGGATGTCCCACATTTTAGCTGGCACCCCGGCCCCGGACCCCGGGCAGTGGCCCAGCCTGGTCAGCTGGCCCCTAAGCTCTGCAGAAACCCGCCAGTGCTGAGCAAGCCGGAGGCCATTCCTGCATCAAAATCCAGAGCGCGCAGCACCAGTGTGGGCTGTGTTCCGAGGAGCTGCCCGCTCCGCCCCCCAGGGTCACGACGGCTGGCCGTGGCGGCCGCCGGGCACAAGGAGGCAAACATTTATCATCCTGAGCTGGCGGAGGTTGTCATAGCTTCGTCTCCAAGGGCTGCTGTCTCAACAAGGCAAGTTGCATTTCTCATTGATTGTCTTTCAGGCTGGTGAGACATGGGCGAGCCCAGTGTCACCGGAGGGAATGGGATGTGACATTATTTCTGTGGAACCTTGGGCCACTCGTCCCCCACAGTCCCTAGAGGGGCAGGGCAGGCAGTGGGCAGACAAATTAGCTGCAAGCAGCCCCAGGGAAGGAATGAGGGCAACTGAGGGCACCTCGTGGAGGAGCTGTGGGGCAGCCCAATGCCTTCCCCTTAGGACAAAGGCAGGTGGCCTCTCGCCCACCACGGCTGGGGGCCTATTTAAAGGCACGGCGATTCTTCTAGCCTTTCTAGCACAAATCAGACTCCCAGTGTCTTATTGTAAAACAAACAAATCGATAGCAAAAGTCTTCCCAAACGTGTAGCTGATTTACTTGTCATGGTGACAAAAGCAGCAAATTGCTGCTTCCCTCAGCACTCCCCCTGAGCCTTAAGCCGTTTGCAGCACCAGCCCAGCCCCTGCTGCAGGAGCCTGTGTGGGTCCAGAGCCCTGTTCTGTCCACAGACTTCTTTCACATTGGCTTCCTAAGCTTTCCAAGGGCTGCATGTGAGTTAAATGTCAGCTGACTTTCCGGGTTGGTCTCTGTCCCGGAAAAGTCAAGGCTGCAAAGTCTGGGATGGAGCCATTGATGCTGCCTTGAACCCAGCTCCTCCTTCTTCCTCCACCGGCCCTAGTCAAGGGCTGGACGTGATGTCTGAACAAAACATGGCACGTGCTGCCAGAGGCACTGTCCCAGGTCCTGGAAGTCGTCTCTGCAATTTCTTCTCTTCCATCAGTAAATTACAATAATGGAAGGTTTTGCACATGCCTTTGTGGGATAAAGAAAAACTACAGCCAGAAATTAGTCATTATTCTCTGAACGATGGGCTAATGAAAGGCTTCGGGTGTACGTCCTAATGGGAAAGAAGCAGGAGATTAAATATTGACTGAGCTAGCAGGGACTTTGGAAGGTTGGGGTTTGTCTGGGGACACTAGCAACTAGTGTGGGCTCTGGGGTCCCACGAGGAGCCTGCATTCACCCCACTTTCTTCCTAGCCTCTTTTCCCTCTTTGGCACCCTGACCTGCTCCTGCTGGGCACAGAGGGGGTGGGAACTCTGATGCTGTCCCTTTAGCAGGCAGTGCTCACCATGCTTGAGGTCTCAACTGCTAGAGGTCCTCGGTGAGCAGGTAGCAAGTAACTGAACCCTACAGAGGGGACAGTAGTTTTAGATATGGTAATCTGCTGTGGCTGAAATGGAATTTTCCAGATTGTTGCTCAGCACTTCCTGACCCTGTTCTCCTTGATAATGGTCACTCCTTGATAGTGGCCACGCTGGCCTCAGCAGTGGGTGTGCCTGAGCAGTGGGACAACCCCCAAGGAGGGCACACATCTTGCCCAGATTGCCCACCAAAGCCCCAGGGCAGGATCCCATGGGTCCATCTCCCATCCCACACCTCTTGCGTGGCTGTCACACGCCTGGGGCAGAAGGGGCACATCCTCCCTCTCTGTGTGAGCCCCCACTGCCCACAGCCTGCGGACAATCAAGGTACATTCACTGTCCAGCAAAACTCGCCTACACAGCCATCCTACCCTGGCTCTGCGGCCCACCCTGAGCCTCAGGGGCTCAGACTAAGAATGGTTCCTGCTGGGCCATCAGCTAGCAGGGATGCAGATGACTCCCATAAAGAAGCCAAGTGCTGTGGGTTTCAAGAAGTTCACCAGAAAATGAAACAGACATCGGAACTCCCAAGAGAAAGGGGCCAGCTGAAGGGACGTGGCAGGCCCAGGAGGGTGTGCGCCCGGGGGCCTGGGGCCCAGGAAGGTGAACTGGGCCTGGCACAGTGCTGGCACCATCGCCTGAGCGGCACCACCCACACCTGATTCCCGCTGCCTTCCGGAGAGGACGTCACTGAAGAAGTGTCTATAAAAATCGTGCGGGCTTTGAGAAAATTGTAGATTCATAGGCAGTTGCGAGAAATACACAGCCAAGTTCATCAACGCTTCACCCAGTTTCCCCAGTGTTGACATCTAGAGATCCAGCCCGCCAGAACACGTCAGGAGGCAGTCCCTCAGCCCACTAAGGCCTCGCCAGCAGCACCTGCACTCTTGTGTGTCTGTCCATGTCTGTCTGTGTGTCTCAGTGTGTGTGTCTGTGTATATCTGTGTGTGTCTGTGTGTATCTGTGTATGTATGTCTGTCTGGGTCTGTATGTATCTGTGTGTGTCTGTGTGTCTGTGTGGTCTGTGTATATCTGTGTCTATGTGTCTGTGTGTTCTGTGTATATCTGTGTGTCTGGGTGTACTGTGTATGTCTGTGTGTCTGTCCATCTAGGTGCCTCTGTGTGTTTCTATGCAGCTTTGTCCCACACACAGCTCCACAACCATACCATCAAATCACAGAGGGTCCATGTGAGGACCCCTCTCAGTGCCTGTTTGTAGCCACAGCTACTTCCTTGTCCCCACCCAACACCATGTACCCCTGGCAACCCTCAGTCTGTCTTTCATCTCTGTAATTTTGTCCTGTCAAGGACATTGCACAGGCAGAACCATAACTGTGTTACCTTTGGGGGTGGCATCTTGGCTCAACATGACCCTCTGATGTCTATCCAAGGCATCATGGGTCATGGGGTAAAATTCGTGGTGTGACAGACACCACAGCTTGCTAGCCATCCACCCACTGAAGAGCACTTGGGTCATTTCCAGCTTGACCTATTACAAATAAAGCTGCCACGGGTATCCGTGTGTTTTGCGGAAACATGAGTCTTCATTTCTCTGGACAAAGGCCCCTGAGTGCAGGTCCTGCTCATACAGTATGTTATCAGTGTGACAAAAATACCTGTGCTAATCAACTTATAAAGAGGCAAGACTTATTTTTGGCCCATGGTTTGAGAAGTCTCAGTCTATGGTCAGTTGGCCTGTTCAGGGAGTGTCCAGATGAGAAACCAGGCGCACACGTGGGGACAGGCAGAGGCCACAGTCCCAGGTCATTGGGAATGTGAAGTCTTCCTGCCTAAGGGCCTTTGCACAGCCATGTCCTCCACCTAGAGCGTCCCTCATCCTCTGTGAGGCTGGCTTCTTGTCCTCCCTCAGACCACACTCATTCTTGCAGGGATATCTGTCCCACCATGTGTCTGTCAGGCCTATTCACCCTTGGAGGTCTTGTTGACACTTGTTAGCTGCAGGTCCCACTGCTAGGCTGCCCCTCTGCTAAGCAGAACTCAGTCCATTTTTTTTGTCCCTGTATTCCTGAGCAGAGGTGGCTTCGGTGAGGAGTCCCCAGCCCTGCTGCAGACATCTGACACTGTTTCCTGGAGCCCAAGAGAGCTTGGGAATTGGTTCTTCAAGGTGGGCAGGAGCCTCTGGCCCACTGAGGGTCTACACAGATGCAGAGGACAGTGGACCTCACTGGGCCAGCATGAAACTGCAAGGCTCAGCCATGGGCCAGAGGTCAGGCAGCTGTGGCCACTGATCCTGTGGATCCTCTGATGCTGCCCAGGCATCTGCCTTTCAT